CATCTAGTAGTTGGCCATAGCGGGTTTGAGCACCATGTGGGAGTTCACAGATGCAGCAAGAGGCGGGCATCTACGTGGAAAGAAGGAGAGTTGAACCCCAAGGTGCATGAGAAGACTTATTGGTGGTGGTTACAGGAAACATTAGAATTGTATGATTGTATGATTGTATGATCTTATCTTCAGAAGTGTAATTGTATTAGATGAAACTCTGGTGAAGGGTACCACCCCATTTCTAACATCCATTTCATGCTGGAAAAGTAAATGAACAGCTGGACCTGTTCCATAGTGACTTTGACAGGGTCTCTCCTTGCTTTGATCCCCAAAGATGGGAATGTAAGTACTGGAATTGGTGGCACAAGCTCTTTGTCAACATTCCAATATTGAAGAATCTCAGCATATCTTGCGACAACTGGAATCCCGCGCAGGGCAGATACACACCAAATGATGCCTTGTGGCAGAACCCAATATTTGCCGCTTCGTCGCTACTCTATAGATTCTATTCACCCATTCGAATTGGCCACTAAGAGGAATGTGCCCTTGCATAGAATTTGTGACGAACCTGCGCAGAAGTGGACTGGACTGCTTACCAAAGCACAAAGCAACTTGTTGCGTATGCTCAGAACAGAAAGAAGTCAGAATTTGTCCTCTTCAAAATCGTTTCCATGTTTCGAAATGTGTTTTGGGCCGAGGTGTTTGACATATCCTGGCACGTCCAAGCTGCAAATTTAAATTCTGGATTCTGGTATGTAGATTAATTTCTGTTGGTGGATGTATGCATCGGAATCTGTTAAAACATCGTCAGTATTGCTGCGGCTTGGTTTGTCCTGTCGGAGATGCCAATGTCTCGTGGCAAGATGGAAAAAGGTTGCTTTTTATGAGTGAGATGTCATAGAGATGTCTGTAAAGTCGACCTTCATGGAACTTATGATGATTCAATGCCTCCGAAACTTTCGGATTTACGAGACCAGTTGGGTTTTCCACATCGTGAGTTCATCGCGGTAGATTGCATATCATATGTTCAAACGGTTTCTGACAGTTTACCAAGACGCGCTCAAAAGTCATCAAATCAATTTGCCCCGAACCTCATCTGCTTTGGGGGATGACCGACCCTCAATCGCTGCTCACATTGATTGATGACGCTACCGCTACGTACCTTACATAATATTCCCCTAGCAACGAATGCGACAGTGAGATGCCCATCCCCCTACATGAGGCTGTAGCATTCTATGGCATGCTATATGGCATAGAAGTATTGACCGCCAAAATTAGATGCTTCAGAGCTGATCACCGTATGTGCATATATAATCATATATATATATATTATACATATAGTACACACACACACACACACGCCGTTTGTTGTTCCAAAGGCACCTATTTTCAAGCCAGACTGCCATGCCGATTTGCAACGGTTCTTTTTGATCAATTCGCCTTAACGGTTGGAGATAGTTTCCAGTGTTCAATGAGATTTTTGTGGTTTTGTGTGAAACACTACCATGCAAACGTGCTGGTTACATTCTCATATCATTTTGACAATTTGACATATTTTGCCCATGGCACATTCGGAAAACTCGCCGGACATTGGAAGATGCGCCACTTTGCCAAGGCCTTGGCTGACCGTGAGTGGCGCTCTGCACAGGTGTGGTCTCCACACTCACAGCTGGCCAGCATACCATACAATACATGGCTTTGGCATGGTTTTTGGTGGGAAAACATGGTGCCAGTTGGAAACCACAAATCGATATCGATACAATTCGCTGGTCAATGTTCTTGAGGCATTTTAATTGCACCTGTTGCAATTTTGTGGGGTGTCCGGCAATGTTGAAGATGCTTTAAGTCAACAAACGCCACAATGAATGCAACAGTGTCCACAAGTCGGGTTTGTGGTCAAACTGGGCCAAAGAGCCAAACATGTTCCAGCTCCAAATGCTATTACATTGTCCTCAATAGGTTTGGTTGCTGGAGACAGTGTTCAAATCGTTTGATGATCCAACCAATTTCCGTGATCTACAGTGATCAAGAGTGATGTAACCAGCATTAACCAGCCATGACATGCCATGACCATCCATGACCCAAGTCATTTCACCAGGAACGGATTGAGGAGCTTCAAGAGAGGCGTGCAGAGGCGAGTAATTTCAAAATGACCAGTTGAGGTGCAACAAGCTCTATCAGGCTTACAAAGTTTAAGCAACAACACCGGATGTTTACAAGCCACCTGTGTTTTCCTTCAATCTACTCTTTTTTCTTATATATATCATTTTAAATTATACATATCATTTATTATTGTCATTGCATAATAGACCCATCGGGTTTCACTACTTATCGGTGTCAGCCTTGATTGGGACACCCTGTTGAGGCGTCCCAACTCCTTCAACAGCTGCAAGGTCCAGCCAGATTGGGAGAGGGAAGAAGTTTTGGGGCATAGGGTTGAGCCGCTGAGCCAATCTGAGCCATTCTCGTGTGTGATCATGTCAATAGTCGGGGGTAAACCACCGGAGGTCGAGGCTTCTGTGGCGTGATCAGTTTTCTGCACGATTCCCTGCAAGCTTCTGCAAGAGCGTAGGTGTGTCGCACGTGTTGTTGTTGTTGTTGTTGTTGTTGTTGTTGTTGATGATGTTTACTGTAAACACCACGAGATTTGAGAATAGATAAGAATGCTAAATATTTCGACAGATGTGATGTGATCCCTGACACTGGCTGGGTGATGTTCCGAGTTTATATTGTGTAAGGCAAGCCTGTTCCTTTCAGACGCGTTTGGAAGTAAACCCCATGTGCAGAATCGTTGTATGCAAGCCGCTGTGTCCACAATATCCTGGTTTGAAAACAAAAACAACACGTTCTACGCTATGTAGGCTATGTAGCTGCGTTGTTATGTGCAAAAACAGGGGGATCCCCCAAGAGACACTTGTTTCCAAGCCCAGAGGCGATTTTGGTGCTGTGAATCACATGCTGTGTGGATCCTGTCAGGACAAGTGGCTTCTTTGCGTCAAAAGTCTGGACAGGCACATGTCGTGCTGAGCTTTGTTGACATTGAAAGTTGTATATGATTTATATGGTCGAAGGAAGTTTAGAAGTCAAACTTCCGACAATATGGACAGATGAAAAGCAGAGATGGGAAGAGTCAGAGAAGAGAAGAGAAGAAGAAGAAAGAAGATCAAAGAAGAGAAAGTCAGAAGAAAGAAGATGCAGGCAGGTGCGCGAAAAGATAGGAAAGTTGCGAAACACTGCGTTTTTCTAATGATTTGAGGCTCCGGGTCGAAAAGTAGGCTCGCTAAAGCGGCGGGTGCGGAGCCACATCTGGCCAGATGAGAGATGAAAATTTGCACGCCGTTGTGGCACGAAGCGCATTTCGAAGTCAAAATGTACAAAGCACCTCAACTTCGGAGCACTTTCAGAAGTGGAGATGTCGAAAAAGTGCACGCCGTTGTGGCGCGAAGCAGATTTGGAAGTCAAAAGTGTAAAAAACTGACGGGTTCGGAGCACTTTTTGACGTTCAGATGTCATTTTACGTGGCAGGCGCAAGGGATTCTGCACGTTGCCAAAAGTGAGTAAAATGTGAGGGTTTTGTCGCATTTTCAACTACAACCACCACTACACTACACTACATTGCACTACACTACACTACACTACACTGTACTACAACTACAACTACAACTACACCTACACTACATTCCACTACACTACACTACGCTACACTACACTACAGTACACTACACTACACTACACTACATTCAATTACACTACACTACACTACGCTACGCTACGCTAACCTACACTACACTACACTACACTACACTACGCTACACTACGCTACGCTACACTACACTACGCTACACTACACTACACTACTACTACTACTACTACTACTACTACTACTACTACTACTACTACTACTACTACTACACTACGCTACGCTACGCAACACTACAGTACGCCACACTGCACTACACTGCACTACACTACACTACACTGCACTGCACTGCACTGCACTACACGACACGACACGACACGACACTACACTACACTACACTACACGCACTACACTCCACTCCACTACAGTACAGTACAGTACACTACAGTACAGTACACTACACTCCACTCCACTCCACTACAACTACAACTACAACTACAACTACAACTACAACTACAACTACAACTACAACTACAACTACAACTACAACTACAACTACAACTACAACCACACTACAACTACACTACAACTACACTACAACTACACTACACTAATTACATTACACTACACAACACCACGCTACACCACACCACACCACACTACACTACACCACACTGCATTACACTCAATTACACTAGGCTACGCTACCCTACATTACATTACATTACATTACGCCACCTCAATTACATTACAAATGCAACTGCGCCTGCACTACATCAACTACACTACACCACAACTACAACTGCACTACACTACAACTACAACTACAGCTGCACTACACCACACTGCATCCAGCAGTTGTGGGTGAGGTGACCGACCAGGTGACCACTGCAACCATTGCAACCACTCCAAAAACCACAGCTCCAACCACCTTTCGGTCCATCAGTGGATTCGCTCTGCCATCCGTGATTCACAACAGCCAACCTCTCCTATAGGTTTCCTATTGTTGAAACTTCCGCCACCGCCTTGCGCGTTACTACTGGTAACCAATAGTATTTGTGATCAGAACTTGTCTGCAGATCTGTTGCTGCAGATCATTTACCTGGTGCAAAATCCTATCATTCCATTGCCAAACGAGTGTAGCAGCAGGGAAGTTTGTAGTTTTCAGATGTCTTTACATGTTTTTACTATGTTGTTCATTTCCATCATTTTCAATAATTTCCATATATCATTTTCATCATTTTCCATTCCTGCATTAAAACATGGAATGGGTTTAGTTTGTCTGCGCAAAACCACCAGTGGTCACCAGGCTCAGGCTGATTCTGAGCGGTTGGAGGACCGGGGCATGTGGGCACCATGTGGGGGAACCATGTGGGGCACCATGTGGGGCACCATGTGGGGCACCATGTGGGGCACCATGTGGGGCACCTTGTTCTAAAATCCTCTTCTTAAAAGGTAGTAGGCGGGTTTGTTGAGAACTTTTGGGCAGTGTGAAACCTGCATCGCGAAAGTTTTGAGCGAGGCCGGCCAAAGGTTTTGCGCAAGAGAAATTTTATAGTAGTCAGGTTGTTTCTTCAATATGTTTTTGTAAGCTTGCATGGCAATTCTGTATCTCAAGCCCTCCCGTAGGTAAACGAGAATGTGAATTAACAATGAGTAACAATCCTGCCAAAAAAGGTAATTGTTCAGCCCAAATCTGCGCAAGCTTCGCGCAAGCTTCAGGTCCAAAGACCCATAGTCCATGCCACCGTGTCAAAAACACAAAACATGCAGTTAATGGATATACAATGTGTAAACAGGTTTAAAAAAATAAATATATTTTCTGACAAAAAGATACACGGACATGAACATGAATTGAAAATCTGACTTATCCTTAGATTTTATTTTGGGTTCAAAGGAAAATCAATCGAAAGCAGATGGATATCTATACGCACTAGGAAACTACACGAAAACGAGCACGAAAACGGGGCGCGAAAACATGCGCAACCACAAATTCAAATGGGACTGTGGTCGCGCAAGATATGCGCAAGGTTCGCCCAAGGGGTGGCCCAAGAGCCACTTTTGCGCAAAAGAATTTAGAACAACCCCCATGTGCATCAAGGGGGCCACCATGGATTTTCATCCTGGCTGCTGTAGACGTTTGGGTGGAGCGAAAGGTCGAAGAAGGGAGAAATAGTACGAGGGAATGTTGAGGGAATGTTGGAAGATGCGAGAAAAGATTGAAGGAACTGCTAGATGTGAATGTAAATAACGGTGCATGTTTGGGTGCATTCAACGTAATTTGACAACTGCATTGCAGCAAACTTTGTAAGACAAGGGAAGATGTTGTGCAGAATGCTGAGCACCCAATTTTGCTGCATGAAGGATTGCAGTATACATTGGAATGAGGACCCACAATACAGCCCAGTCAGGTGAGTGTTTGCATGAGCATGTCAGCATTAAGAGTCATTGACCCACTACAAGAATGTGGTCGTTTCAAAGTAGATAATATGACACAGTGCAAAGACTTAGGCATCCTTACATATCCAGCATGGGCTCGTGAGGCTGTGAAGACTGGCCAACCCTCCAGTCTTGACCATCCCACGAGTAGGTGGTGTGTTTTTCCCAAGGAATCCAAGGATTCTTGTTCCCCACATCTTTGTGTGGGGTTCTTGGTTTGATTCTGTATCCCGCTCTTCTGCCGCCGCCTCCTCCTCCGCCGCCTCCTCTCTCTTTCACACACAACTTGCTCACACACAACTTTGTCACACTCTCTTTCACATACAACTTGCTCACACACAACTTTGTCACACACAACTTTGCCCCCTCTCTCTTTCACACAACTTGCTCACACACAACTTTGTCACATACAACTTTGTCACACACACACACAACTTTGTCGCACACAACTTGCTCGCACACAGCCACACAACTTTGCCACTCACACACACAACTTGTTCACACACAACTTTGTCACACACACAACTTTGTCACACACACACAACTTTGTCACACAACTTGCTCACAGACACAGCCACGCAACTCTGCCACTCACACACAACTTTGTCACACACAACTTTGTCACACACCACCTTTCACACACAACTTTGTCACATTCAATGGTATCACACAACTTTCTCACACACACAACTTGCTCATCAACCTTCATTTTGCGCGGCAGGCGTGGCACTTGCTCACATCAACTTTCGTTTTGCGTGGCACGCGTGGCACTTATGAGACTGGGTTGGATCTGGTGGCGCGCTTGGGGCCCGTTAGTCGCCCGTGGCGCCGCGGCACTTTGCGTGGCAGGCGTGGCACTTGCTCACATCAACTTTAGTTTTGCGTGGCACGCATGGCACTCATGAGACTGGGTTGGATCTGGTGGCGCGCTTGGGGCCCGTTAGTTGCCCGTGGCGCTGCACACTTTGCGTGGCAGGCGTGGCACTTGGCTGTACCAAGCAGACCGACGTGATGTCGTCGTTGGCCGGGGGTGCGGGATGATGCGTTTGTGTGTGCTTGGGGCCAACGCTCGGTTTCCAACCGAGTATGACAGCAAGGGCTATGGGCTAGTGCGCCTTCCTGGGCACACACCGAGGCACTGGCCGGTCAGTTCACGTCCTTGCGACTGTCGAACGCCCGGCCCTGCTCTCCAGCGCGTCGCTTGGGAGGCCGGCTTTATCACGCAGAACTGTGGCACACGCAACTCTTGCATACACAACTCTTTTGCGCGCAGCTTTCTCACACACAACTTGTTCACACTCATACACAACTATTTCACAACTTCCTCACACACAACTCTTGCACACACAACTGTTTCATCCTCATGCATCACACCTTTTTAATACACACACAAAACTCTTCCACATAGAACTGTTTTTTAACTTATCGATCCTCCACCACCTCCTTTGCCTTTCTTTCCTTCCCCGTCCCGCTTCAACTTTAGTTTTCTCATTAATTATTGGAAGAAGTTGACTTGTGCGGTTATCCGGTCCTTTAATTTTTTTTGGCAGGTTTATCACTCAGAAATGAGATGGTACAGGATGGTATACAGCCATGACTTTCCCATGATTTCCCTCATGATTTCAGGCAGAGGTTCAGCTCCCACACAGGAGCAGAGGCGTCAAACAGCAGAAAACTTGGCAGGTGCCCTGTCGGTCGGGGATGGAGCGGGAAAAATGCACTGTATCATACGAAAACATGTGTATATAATTGTATATATATGCATATGTAATATATAATGCCATGTATATCACAATGAATACAATAAATATTGCATATGTATCGTAAAATAATTCAGTATGATTCATACCAAGCAACCATAGGGGAAGCTACCAGGGCAACAGTTTCATGAGGTTTGTGACAACATGAACAAATTGAAGGTGGTAAACTCGCCGCGAAATGGACTGGGAGGCTTGGAAGTCGAACGCGACAAGAAAATGGAAACTTTGGCCAAAGCCCAATTGGCCGCAGAAGAGGTGACGCATGGATGGACTGTTGGATCTTGACGCGAAAGGTGGGCAAATGCGAAAAAATCTCTGGGAATGTAGATATGATACCTGGAAAAATATCTGCAGTGAAGTCTTGTTCATTGTGACAGTTTCTCAGGTCACTGAAATCTATACTGTGCCGTTTTGGGAGTAGAAATCCTGAATAAGCCTAATCTAAGGGTTACGCAATTTTATGGGTATTGATGCCGCAACAAATCGTAAAGTTGCTTCATTTTGGCTCGAGTACACTTCTGTGTTGCAGTTTTTTGGGTTTCTGATTTCATTGGGGGTCCATTTTTGAGACTTGCCTGGCAGGAAGGGCGCCGACAGCGTGAAGGAGAAGAGAAGAGTCGTCTGCCTAATAACCGACCTGGGCGTTGCAGCCGCACCACCGAAACAACCAATATTCAATATATACTCATATAATCTTATATACATCTCATTCGGAACCAGCACTTTGAAAACTGGACTGAATTACCACGTGTGGGGTGTTTTTTTGGAATCGCGGGTGGAGTCCGACAATGCCGAGATTGAAACTATTTGAAGCTGCTGGAGAGCAAAACTCAGGTGCCGAACGTTTGGCTGAACTGAGTCGCGCGCGCAAGGAGGTGCAATTGGAGACCGGAAACATACAATGCCTCTGGGTGTTCTTGCCGCTCAAACAATGGTATGAAATGTTATGACATGGTATGAAATGGTATGAAAGGCCACATGTTTGGTCCACATCATAGGTAGGAAATCTACAACCACAGGATTATGACGGCATATTAAAACCACGTGGGTATTTGAACGTGCTTAACAGTGTGGGAGTGGCGCAAACAGAATGATTTTCCGAAACTTTGGTTGCACTTGTGGACATAGCAATGTCATCCAATACCCTTATATACGGTATCCTCATTGCATTTCATGTTTTTGTTTGGTTTTACTGTTTAACTCCATGGTTTAAAGAGGCCAAACTGTTCTTTTACTGCGAGCCCAATTTGGTGCCACTACCAGGTAGTAGAAGCCAACGCAGCAGTCGAGGCAGAGCGACCACAGGCAGGGAAGCACCAGCTGATTTCAAGGTGGCATAGCACCCCAAATGTTTTTTTTTTCTGGATGCTAAACAGTAAATAGAGTGGGAACTCGACAAGACATGTTTCAGTATGCCCGTGGCGTAGGCTTCCATGCAGACAGCGTAGGTTGGGTAGGCAGTCGCGTAGGCTTGATTTAGCCTGCACGGCGTAGGCTTTGCGTAGACACTCGTTGACAACAGTTGGAACCCATTCACTTTTGCATTGGTTAGTTGTAATGTCAATCTTCTTCCTCCTCTGGATCGTCGACTTCCTCTTCGTCATCATCTACCAAGGAGTAGCTCCCAGCATCCCAATTGCACAGCCAAACATCATGCGACAATTGGAAACAAAAGGGAATCATAGCCGCGTAGGCAAAGCCTACACCGGGTGGGCTCGCGTAGGAACCCCTTAGAAACCATCCCCGCGTAGGCTACCTCATGCAATGGCGTAGGTTGGCATAGACATGCTACTGGTCACCGAAAGACAATGATAAAAACATTGCTCAAATGGCCCCAAGACATTTTTATCTTAGTCAGTCCTAGTCCAAAGATGGACATGGCTCAAAGATGCTCCAAAGTAGTCGAACTTTGAAATAAAGAGTTCCCGTTCCCAGATATTTGGGGAAGGGCTTGACGGTACATTCAGGTGTTGTCTCGTGAAAAGGTACAAGGCATGAAAAAGACACCCCCCTTCTAGCCGAAAGGCCTCCTCGGGTCCCAAGTTTGTTCAATCCAACTTCTGAACTTTCAAAATTAAGAGCTTCAATGTATTTCAATGTCATGCCACTTGCACGGCAATCTTTTTGAAACGTGTGACTTGGTGACTGATTTCAGGTGAACGAGGCTGAGGAGCAGGTGCGATCGCTGGAGCAACAACGCCAGGTGGGCTGAAGATCGGCTGATGACCTTGTGTGAGCAGAGCATCAAATCTTTATAATATATTATATATATAACTGATATTAATTGTATTCAACAGTACTGAATTTCAAGGGGTTTATCAAGATCAGGATGCCGCACTTTTGGCACTTCTTCGATCTTCATCGAGCTTTCGCCATTAAAGGGCTCTTTTTCAAAAATCAGCAGTATTCTATATTCTACGCAATCCTCTTACATTATCCTACATGGTCTTTTTGAATTATCCTGCCGTATCCTTTTACATCCGTTTATGCTCGCTTATGTCACCTCCCATATCTCTTAGAATAATATCTTTCACATTTTTGTGCAGCGCTGGATAATGAAAGACCCTTGGGATAAAGCAACAGATGGTAGATTTTGGACCCTTGATGAGTGGCAACGTTAAGCTGCGTGGGGGGGGTCACTCTTGACCCCCTACTTCAATTGCTGATAAAAAGGGTCAAAGGAGTTAGGACATGTTAGTATATCATATCCATTGCTGCATATGCCCAGTGAGCAGAACGAAGTCTATGTTTGATAACTTGCACATGGCATCCCAGTTGTCTACTGCTATATACTGTACTACCCGTAGCCTCAGATGGAATAGGATAGCACATCTACGAGACCAATTGCTTTGAACCCAATGAAACAATGGCAGCAAACAAGCGAATGCATGTTGTTTGCTTGTATTTGTTGCTGTTCCAGGTCCATCATGGTCCCACCGTCCCAAGAGATTCCACAAGGAGTTGTGGTAATTTTTGGGTTACATCGCTTTCATGATTTCGCTGCATTTCGCTGGACGAGGTCTGTAACGCCGAGCGTGAGCAACTCTTGGCGCGGCAAGGTCGCCGACAGCAGTTCCGCACCTTGGAGGCCGACAAATCCGACAGTCCACGCAGTCCACGCAGTCCATGAATGGTGACTAAGCAGCTGATGCTACTAGCAATGATATGAATCCATATCATACAATATATATGTATATATATATATATCCACATTATTTCTTCATATATAGTCATATTATGACTTTAGCATACTTTAAGAATCTTTAAGATACTTAACATATGACTCCACATTCTAATCGGCACAGCAGCTTTCAGGAGCGCAACCGAGCTCTGGACGAGGAGCTTCGTGTTCGGGAAGAGAAGCTGGCAGATGCGAGGCGCCATTGCACCATAGCCTTGGACATTTTGGGATCACACCTGAGAATTATCAGGGTAGCCCTGCCATCCCACATGCGACATGTTTTGACCTGGTTGACCTATGGACCTATGGGCAAACTGGGGCTTTGTTTCGTTTCAGGCGCAAGATGGAGATCAGCGTGCAACGCGAGAAGAAGAGCGAGACTGCTGGACTTGAAGCCAACAAGGTGCAGAGCAAGAGTCGTTGTTGATGGGAAAACGACCTTGGAGCAATGGTCGTTCAGCCTGCAAGCATCCACCGTATACTGGCTGATCCTGAATTGCTACAGATGCAGTGCAAGACATCATGAGGTGCATGATACTTCATGAATCTTCACGATGTCTTGAATTTCCCACCATCCCATAGACCCCTTGGGGTGTGGATATTGTTGGTGGTGGCTGGTATGGCTGGTGTGGCTCATTGAGGTGGCTCTGAAGGGTCGTACAGATCTTGCGAGCCGAGAGACGCAGCATGGAGCTAAGACACAACTAGCAGCTAGCAAAACAGAAGCAGTCCAGAATTGATCCATGTCTGTTGGAATATATTGGAATCATGGAACAGGAAACGGGGACTGTAGTGATCCCAACTTTGGGACACGCCATGACATACCCACTCCCCTCCTCTATAGATTCTATAGTGATTGTTTGTAGGTTAGGGTCCTGGGCAGGTTATAAGTTATATCCCGGTCGGCATCATGGGGCTAAATGTTGAAATAGCATGAGACAATGAGATAGCTGTCCACAGATTGATATGTCTGTGAGTGTCCCTTTGAGTGTCCCTGCTGAGATTGGGGGGCCTTGGCAAAGCATTGCGAAGTTTGGGAGAACGTCTAGATGGAGGAGTTCGGGCGCCTGGAGGACAAATGTGTAAGAGAGAGAGAGAGAGTATGGGATTGAGAATGTGTGGAACAAACAACAAACAAAGATAAGTTAATCAAAGGAAGTTTAGAAGTCAAACTTCCGACAATATGGACAGATGGAAAAGCAGAGGTGGGAAGAGTCAGAGAGGAGAAGAGCAGAAGAGAGAAGATCATAGGAGAGAAAGAGTGAGAAGAAAGAAGATGCAGGTGCGCCAAAAGGTAGGAAAGTCGCGAAACACTGCGTTTTTCCAATGATTTGTGGCTCCGGAGGGTCGAAAACTAGGCTCGCTAAAGCGGCGGGTGCGGAGCCACATCTGGCCAGATGAGAGATGAAAAGTTGCACGCGCGCGAAACACATTTCCAAGTCAAAATGTATAAAACACACCAGCTCCGGACCACTTTTGGAAGTTGAGATGTCGAAAAAGTGCACGCCGTTGTGGCGCGAAGCACATTTTGAAGTCAAAAGTGGAAAAAACTCAGGGTTTCGGAGCACTTTTGGACGTTCGGATGTCGTTTTGCGTGGCGGGCACAGGGGATTCTGTACCTTGCCAAAAGTGAGCAAAACGTAAGGGTTTTGTAGAAGTTTCAACCACAACCACCACTACACACGCACACACTACACTACACTCCACTCCACTACACTACATTACACTACAACCACAACTACAGCTACAACTACAACTTCATTATATTACACTACACTACAGTACACTAGTTGCATTACACTACACTCCACTCCACTACACTACACTTAATTACCCTACACCCCATTCCGCCCCACTCCACTACACCACATTACACTACAACCACAACTACAGCTACATCTACAACTTCACTACATTGCATTACACTACACTTTTCTAATTAAATTACACTACGCTACACCCCACTATGCTACACTACACTCAGCTACACTACACTACGCTCCGCTACGCTACGCTACACTACACAAAACGACAACTACAACTGCAACTGCAACTACAACTACAATTACAACTACATTACACTCCACTTCACTACAGTACACTACACTCAATTGCACTTCACTACACTACACTACAGTCCACTACACTTCACTACACTGCAACTACTACCACTACAACTACACTACATGACACTACACTACACTATACTACACAAATTACTGTACACTACACTACACTACACTGCACTACACTCCACTTCACTACAGTACACTAGACTCAATGACACTTCGCTACACTACACTGCACTCCACTACACTGCACTCCACTAGACTACACTACACTCAATTATACTACATCGCACTGCAATACACGACACGACACGACACGACACCAACTACAACTACTACATGACACCGCACTACACTAATTGCATTACACTGCGCTACACTACATCACACTACACTACACTATACTACACTACACTACACGGCATTGCACCACAACGACAACACAGCTACAACTACAACTACGCTATTTTATACACACTAGACTACACTACACTACCCTGCATTACACTACACTCATCACACCACCACAAATGCAACTGCAACTGCACCATACTAATTGCACTACACCACAACTACAACTCCACTACACTACAACTACAACTACAGCTGCACTACACCACACTACATCCAGCAGTTGTGGGTGAGGTGACCGACCAGGTGACCGCTGCAACCATTGCAACCACTCCAAAAAACACAGCTCCAACAGCCTTTCGGTCCATCAGTGGATTCGCTCTGCCATCTGGGATTCACAACAGCCAACCTCTCCTATAGGTTTCCTATTTTTGAAACTTCCGCCACCGCCTTGTGCGGCACCGATGGTAGGTTATTAAAGGTTTTTAATAGCACTAGTGACAGCACATGTTCATTTACAAACACTATCAAACACTCTATATCATTTGTAACCTTTCGCATAAGAAATCCAGTTTGTGTCGCATGATGTCGAGCCACCGCCAGATCTGTTGTGCCAAAGGACTAGCACCTCTTGTTTAAAGGGGTTAAACGTCCTTCTTCCTTTGTTCATCTTTGTTCTTGCGCGAAACCGAAAGTTGGACCAAGGCTGAGAAGCTCCGACTTTTGCATCAGGACGTAAGGGAGATGGCTATGCTGACGACAGGTTAAGCAAAAACATGCCACACTTACCCAAACCTCGATCAATATCTTCAAAAATGGCTATGTCATGGCAGGTCACAGTGGTCGCAAATTATTGCACACCTTTTGTTCCTGTGACAGCACGTGATCTTTCGCTTCACGTTTCCTTCTCCCTTCCTTTCACATTTCATCAGAAAACTTGGGATGGTGGTGGCTTGTAACTTTTCGTTGCATAGTTGTCCCAAGGTTCTACTAAAGCCGCATAAGTTTCGCGCCAAAATTGGGTGCCTATATAGATAAGAGACTGCAAATGAGGTCTGAGATTGAAAAACTGCAGCAGGAATATGACGCGATGACATTTGATGATATTTCAATACATAATCAGACATAATTTCCATAGTTTTGTGAAGCATTGTCAATCTACTCAGAATCTACTCATAGCCATAGTTCCTCGGAAAATCCACCCACCGTCTGCACTTTCCCATTGTTCCTTGCCATCGAGGATCGGCACAAGGCGCAGCGCGAGGTTGAACAGCTTCGGCAAGAGGTCAGATGGACACGCCACTGCCATCGGCAGTCGGATGTCGTGAGATGATGTCGTTAACTGTGGATCACTGATGTATCAAGAAATGTCAAGACACTGGGGATCAGTGGTTTCCTCCATGCACATGAGAAAAGACGACTCTTTGGAACTTATGGGGGGGTCCAGTGGAAGGACAGTTAGATGGAACTAAATTAACCACAGTATAGTTGACACTTGTTGTGAATATTGTTGGATTATGTTGGATTTATTTCATGATTTTGGTTCAAATACTGCAAGAGAAGCATTAGCAACTTAATCCAAGTGACAAGTGCTATAACTATACAATATTATACAGCGTTGTTTAATTTGTTTTCGCACATTTTTAGTGGATTGTTAATGGTGTTCAGCTTCGCTGCATCTCAACAGGCACGACATTGCCAGCATCGACTAGAGGGTACAATGCCGCGATCCAATTGCCAGGCGAGCAAGCTGAAGGAGGGTTGCATCATGTTGTATCAACAACTGGTAACAACTGGAAAACAAGTTAGTAGTTAGATCATGTATATATCATGTATAACTGTTCACCAAACAATTGCTGGCTTCAGAAACTACTCCGCGCTGTGACTTTCAAAGAACCACAACAGGCAAAACAAACCATAGAGCGTCACGGAAAGTAGACCAACCCCGGGCAGATCAAACCGTGGTAGATTCATCATAGGTTATGCATGCTTATACAGTACCTCCTAGCTCCTAGCAGCAAACAATGAGATATAGAATTGGAACCTTTTCATTGAACGCACATATATCTATATACGATTATACATATATATATGTATATATACACGCATATATATATATATATACAGATACAGTATATACATATATAATATTACTATATCACTGTGGATTGTTCATTGATTCATGATGGAGGTTGATTAGAACGGAAATGATTTGGATGGTTCTTGTGGATTTTGGCTGCCCAACCCTGCACTGCCAGGCGGTCACTGCCATCATGAGGTGGGCACAGGCGCCAAAGTTGGAAACAGTTTGTCAGTGTTGAGGGCTGGACAAGGCACAGCTGTGGCACAGCTATCATACTCATGAGGAGTTACGTGTTTCTGTGTGGACATCACCCCCAAGAGACTTCAAAGTAAGACAACCTTAGTCAGACTTGATAGGCTCTCAACGTGCAGCCATGATTTTGCGCCTTGAACTTGGTGGTTGACTCAGGTTAGTTCCATGTTGATTCATTTTTGCATTCAATAGAAATTGAAGGTTTCGTCCAGTCTCGACTTTGCTCCCCCTAATTTTGGAAGATTCCATACTGGTCTTGTCAGGAAAAAGGACTTCAAGATCGGATCCGGGGCACGTTTCTGTCGCACATTGAGGCTCTCATGCCCATGCAGAGCATTCTATCAAGTCCAAAATCTACCAGTTGGGTTGGTTCAGTTTAATCGGAATCATTTGCAACACGCATCAACGCGCTATTTGATGAATTGTTGTGATAGTTCAGCCCAAACCAAAACCAGTATCTTCATGACCTAAAACAAAGATTTCAGAGCAGTTGAGTTGAGTAGGGCAACACTGGACATCATTTTGCGGAAATTGTTTCAACTTGAATCTTTGAATACCCAAAAAGACAATCAACATTTCCTGGGCATCTTCAGTCTTTTGCGATCGATGAGCGACTATGACACCCAGTCTTGTTTCACCATCTTCCGTTTCAAAATTTTCAAGCCCGACTGTGAGCTTGGAGATGGACCCAAAATAGACCAATAGCTATAGTACACAAGATTGTGAGGATCAGCCAGGGATGAACTCCATTCACACGCGACTGAGCTCAGCAGGTCGCATCTACTTTCCGAGCAGCTGTGGAGAGTTTTGCCGGATCGTCGCTATTTAATGTGTTGGTGGGAGCCCTCAGCCATCACCGTGCTGAATTCTCAGCTATCTCAGAGTGAAATGATGAACTGTGGAATTCACTGAATTCACTTAATTCACTTTGCGTTTGTCGTTTCTTTGGGCAGAAAGAATACAATTGACTTGATCCAGTTTGGTACCAAGGCATGTTGAAAGAGGTCATGAGAGGTCGTTTGAGAGCCCAGTTATGTCCAGATTGTTGAATCCACAGGCTATGGACGATGAAGCCGCTGCCGAAGCCGTGAAGTATGTGAGGTGCGATCGGAGCGATTGGGGGTGCAGTTGGGACCAACAGAGATGGTCGAGAATCGATTGAGCCAGTAGAAATGCGATGGCATAGTTGTGGGAATTGTTGTGGGAATCTGTGGGATTTACACTATCATGAGGTGCCACAAGTGGTTTGCATGGACCACTGCTCAATTTTGTCAAAGCTCCAGTGGCCGTTGCAACTGGTTAGGTTCTTGTAAGGCGGTTGAACACTCACAGTTTGCATCGCACGAGAAGATGTGACTTCTTGAGCTTTAGAGTTGATTGGTGATATTTGGTGATGGTGGGGCTATGTGTAGTTTGGTTTTCATTTGCTCCGGAATGGCGCCAGAATGGTACTTCCACGGCTTGTCTCAAGAGCAAAATTCCACCATATACCCCAATTCTTCGATTTGCATCCATTTAAATAGGTAATCAATGGTAATCATAGGTCCAACAGTTTGCCAGTGGCATGCTGTTATGACTCCTTTCAGGACGCGTCGTTTGGGTGCAGTGGTGGTTACGCCCATCAGAGCTATCCTCAGATCAAAGTGATCTCATGGCAGTTCTGAACGCTGGAGGCTCGCCAAAAGGCAGGTTTCGAGTGGCATCACAGCAGGTTGCGCGCAGAGCGAATGGTTTAAAATGGTTTAAATATGTCATGATTGTCATGTATCAATATGTTTCAATCAATGCTTTTCGAATCTGTTTGAATCAATTGATGTCCTTTTCAGGTCAGCTCCCGTTGAAGGACTACAGTTTCCCTCAGATGGAGGGGGTCATGCGCTCAAGTTTTGCCATTCGTTGAACGAGAGCACGCTGTACATTTGGTAGACACAAACCTGAGTTGTTGAGTTCCTGCTCTGGATACTGCTGAGACACTGTACTAACCTGCACTACTTAAAAGAAATGCAGAGTTGACCCAATGGAAATCAGAGATCGCACAATAATAGTGGCACATCTATGCACATCTCAGGGTTTTGGTGGATGTCAATTCTCCCTTCAACTTTTAGTGATTGATGAATGATTGATGTGTTTGCCGCAGCTTGGTAGCAGAACTCAGCCGAGGCTTGTAGAGTAGATGATTTCGATCAATTTCTTGCTGCGTCAGGTGAAACCATTGGTTGATGTGGTCAAGTGTCCAGATTGGGTGCGCCCTGCCGTGCAGCAAGTCTTTGGAAAGGCCAGGACACGGGAGATGATGGGAGATGTGTTGAATTCGTTCGGAAACGTTTCCCATAGTTGAACGAGCCAGAGTTGACTAGCTGACCCTGGCTCTGACAGATTTGTATGTGACCGCCTGTTTCGCTGATGATACTGCAAATAGGTTCTGGACGATGATGGTGTTACAACATCCGATTGGTATCTTTCATGGCGTCACCGCATTGCCTGAGGCAGTGGTTTGCCGGAGTATGGAGCTTTGTGAGGAGGTAAAGCAGAGCCGGGGTCGTAAAGCGGGCACTGATTGAAGGACATTGTAGCCCGCGCACAAGTTGAGCGTTTCCATCCTACTATGGCTGTGGTTCAAATACATTGAGCTATACTGATTCACGAAATTGGACACTAAAGAAGAACAATTGGACGGATGCGAAATGTTGCGACAATATTCTTGAATCATGTGTGTCTGAAGATTGAGTCTATTGTAGGAGCAAGTAAGCTAAGTGAACCACTGTCGTGGCATCTGCCATCACCCAGCTTTCGACCCGTCGTGGCTATTACTGGTAGATGCTATTTGCAGTCATCAACAAGTATTCAAGTACAGTATTATGATGTATTATATGTATAATGTGTATATAATAAATATATTTATAAGCATGCCGCATCAACCAAATTATTTTTTATGGTGTTCAATCCCTTCGTTTGAGAGCTTGGCTCTCAAGTTCGAAGGAGAGCCTAGCGCCCTGACTCAACTCACCAAGACATCGATCCACCGTCACACATGATTTTGATTTTTGTTGAAAGGATTGCCTATAGCCATATCTAGCAACAAACGTTGAACTGGAAATTTGCAGCTCCGAAACATTCCAAAACCATCCAAAACCAAATGCAGCTCTTGGTAGTTCATCTTTGATGATTTGTATGAAGCTGCTAGAGAGAAGTGGCTGCCTTTGCAGGTGGCAAAACGCCATGGCATTGACGCCATCACATTGGACGGAGATCGCGTCAGTCGTAAGGCTCGACACCAACTGGTCTCATCGGATGAATGTGGTGGATGTGTGCTGGCACCCCAAATATGATAAGAGTGATTTAAGATGATTTAAGCATCCGAGGGCGCGAGTTTCCGAGTGACTTCAGAAAGAAAGGTGATTCACATTGAAGATTGAGGATGAGCCAATAGCGTGAGTGAACACGAATCGGAACTCATTGGTTTTTTCCGGCGGTGGGATTCGACACATCAAGGCAATAAAAGACCATTAAGAATCATCAAGAATCATTAAGAATCATCAAGAATCATCAAGAATCATTAAGACATATTGAATTAAGACTATCCCCAAAACGGTCGAGTGATGTCTATTGGGTATACGGTATATTTGATCTGGATGTGGGTCTAGCTACTGGGGACCCAATGCCCCCTCCCCTGGCTAGGACAACAAAGGAAGACCACATGTAGAGTGAAATCAGATTACCAGAGATAGCCAGAGAAACATGAATTATTGTGTTTTGTTTGCTGTGATGAACCATGCTACAGACATTCAGTGGAGCCGTCACAAGTCAGTGGTTTTCAGCGCCTAACCAAACTGCTGCTCACAGTAGCATCCCGACAGGATCGTATGATCATGTCTTGACATGTCTTGACCTTTGTGACATTTCTCAACGCTGAGGGAGTCATCACTGGCGGTTTTCAAGACCCGCAGCGCTTTGTTCGAATTTCTTTAGCAGAGGCGCGCTACTCGTAGTAGAATCTGGTGAGATTTGGTGGACATCGCAGCCTCCTGGAGCAGAACAATGGAGAGTTGAGAGTGTTTGGGTTCCCACAGATGGCAGGCAGTGTTCCAGAAGAAAAAAAGGGCCAAAGTTGTATTCTTCTGAGTTGTGTCATGTCACAGGTCCACTTTGACCCCTGGGTTGCCTGGGTTCAGCTCCCACTTCATTAGCCAGTTTCCAACTGTTGCCATTCACTTTTTCTGCAAGCCCTTCCGAAATGCTGTGCCATGCGTTGCGAGGTTTGTCCACGCATGCATCGTAATGTCATGTCCGCATCGTATGGAACGTGACCAGGCCATTCGCAGTGCACAGCTCAAACTGGCACAGGTGGATTTGTGAGCATGGTGTGGGAGGAATGTTTGTCAATCCAACTTGTAGTGATGAAACTTTACTTGCCATGTCCCACAATATGAGATCTCAAAGCAATGATTCCCTAATGATGGCGGAAATGGATTGCCGAGTGACATCTCATCTTTGGCCTTTGATAGCTGGTGCCTCTTTCAGTGTATCACACTGTTGGACATGTGCCTATGTAGAGCTCTCTCTCTCTCTCTCACAAATGTACATATCCTGGAACAATAGTAGAATCACATTACAATTGAAATCTAACATGATATACGTAGCATGATATAACGTGAGTATAATAACACGAGCATATTAAATAGATATAAATGTATATGATATTAAAAATTTATATAATATGAATGATATGATCTAATATACATACGTATTATGTTATACGTAATTACTATGTATATTATATACAAATACTATCTATATTATACGTATAGTAGATTATAGTAGTGTATAGTATATACTAGATTATAGTAGATCATAGTAGATTATAGTAGTATATAGTGAGAATTTGCACAGGTCTTGCGTTTTAACTGGTGGCTTGTGTTTTATGGATTGGGCTCCCCCAAATAGGCACCAAACTCTGCATTTTGGACCAAAGAGAAACCATGCCATTCTCATGGATTCATGGCTCACAGGTGGAACAAAAAAGATAAACCACAAGGCAATCCAAGTTTGAGTCACCTGAGTTATCATACATGTTACATATAACTATAACTTGTAACCAGGTAATTCAATTTTTTTACTACATATATACTTACTACATACTTAGCTCAAACCAACCCATCCAAGATTCAAAAGTCAAATCATTGTCATTGTCATAGAAGGCTGGGAAAATTTTAAAATTCAAAAAAGGCTGGGAAAAGATAGCATTATGGATTCCCTTAAACGATTTTTTTCAAATAAGAACATTTTAAAATCAAAAAAAGCCGGGAGAAGAAAGATAGGGTTATGGATTCCCTTATTTGATTTTTTTTTCAAATAAGTTTTTTTTTTTAAACTAGTTTTTTTTTATGAATCTCTTAAACGATTATCAAATAAACAAATTTGAAACTTCAAAAGAGGCTAGGAGAAGATAGGATTATGGATTCCCTTATTATGCCCTTATTTGATGTTTTTTCAAATAAGAACTTTGAAAAAAACTAGGATTTTATATGAATCTCTTAAACGATTTTTGTTCTCAAATAAGCAAATTTGAAAATTCAGGAAAGGCTAGGAGAAGATAGGATTATGGATTCCCTTAAACGTTTTTTTTCAAATAAGAAAATTTGAAAATTCAAAAAAGGCTGGGGGAAAATAGGATTATGGATTCCCTTAAACGATTTTTTTTACCTAAGAAACTTTTAAAATTCAAAAAAGGCTTTGAGAAGATAGGATTATGGATTCCCTTATTTGTTTTTTTTTCAAATATATATATTTTTTTTATGACTATGGTTTTATATGGATCTCTTAAACGATTTTTTTCTCAAATAAGCAAATTTGAAAATTCAAAAAAGGCTAGGAGAAGATAGGATTGTAGATTCCCTTAAACGATTTTTTTCAAATAAGAAAATTTAAGAATTCAAAAAAGGCTGGGAGAAGATTGCCTTATTTTTTATCAAACAAAATCAAATCAAAATAAGAAAAATGATTTAAAACAAACTGTAAGTAGAATAGAGTCAGAGAGATGGGTATTGTTTTTGTTTATATATTTAAACTAAATTAAATAGTAAAAAAAGGAAAATTCAAAAAAAAAATGTAACCAAAACATGAAAACAATAAAAAACAAAAAAACCATAGAAACCAGTTTGGAAGCAAATTTGATGAAAGAACCAATGTCAGCCTTGTTTTTTTTCAAGTTGATTGAAATTGATTGTGATTTTTTTTGACCAGAACTTAAAACACAAGCAAAAAGCTTAAACGATTTTTTTAATTTTCAAATAAGCTTATTTGATTTTTTTTGTGGCTTGTGTCCCCTGGATTTTGTTTTTTTTTGGTGTTTCTGATCAGAAAAAACAAATTGTGGGGGACACAAACCAATTATAATCAATTTCTGTCCCCCAAAATTTGTTTTTTTTAATCAAACACACAAAAAAACAAAATCCAGGGGACACAAGCCACAAAAAAAATCAAATAAGCTTATTTGAAAATAAAAAAGATTGTTTAAGCTTTTTGCTTGTGTTTTAAGTTCTGGTCAAAAAAATCAATAATCAACTTCAATCAACGTCAAAAAAAACAAGGCTGACATTGGTTCTTTCATCAAATTTGCTTCCAAACTAGTTTCTATTGGTTTTTTTGGTTTTTTAATTGTTTAACATGTTTTGGTTACATTTTTTTTTTGAATTTTCCTTTTTTTACTATTTAATTTAGTTTAAATATATAAACAAAAACAATACCCATCTCTCTGACTCTATTCTACCTACAGTTTTTTTTGAATCATTTTTCTTCTTTTGATTTGATATGTGTTTGATAAAAAAATAAGGCAATCTTCTCATCTTCTCCCAGCTTTTTTTGAATTTTTATTTTTTTCTTATTTGAAAAAAACGTTTAAGGAAACATAATCCTACCTTGTCTTCTCCCAGCCTTTTTTTAATTTTCAAATTTTCTTATTTGAAAAAAAAATCAAATAAGGGAACCCTCCTATCTTCTCCCAGCCTTTTTTGAATTTTAAAATTTTCTTAGGTAAATTCAATTGTTTAAGGGAATCCATAATCCTATCTTCCCCCAGCCTTTTTTGAATTTTAAAAATTTCTTAGGTAAAAAAAAATCGTTTAAGGGAATCCATAATCCTATCTTCTCCTAGCCTTTTTTGAATTTTCAAATTTTCTTATTTGAAAAAAAACGTTTAAGGGAATCCATAATCCTATCTTCTCCTAGCCTTTTCTGAATTTTCAACTTTGCTTATTTGAGAACAAAAATCGTTTAAGAGATTCATATAAAATCCTAGTTTTTTTCAAAGTTCTTATTTGAAAAAAACATCAAATAAGGGCATAATAAGGGAATCCATAATCCTATCTTCTCCTAGCCTTTTTTGAAGTTTCAAATTTGTTTATTTGAGAACCGTTTAAGAGATTCATTAAAAAAAAACTAGTTTTTTTTAAAAAACAAATTTCTTATTTGAAAAAAAATCAAATAAGGGAATCCATAACCCTATCTTTCTTCTCCCAGCCTTTTTTGAATTTTAAAATTTTCTTATTTGAAAAAAAATCGTCTAAGGGAATCCATAATCCTATCTTTTCCCAGCCAGGATGTTAGCACAGGACACGCATGCACCAAAAACAGTGCACGGCGCACAGTGGGGAAAAAAGGCCAGCAGCATCAATTTGGAAGAACTGGGTTCCATGTGTTTTTTTTCTGTTTTGGAACTTGCGCAATAATAAAACACAAGGGCAAACTTATACCGCAAGCAAAACAGCTACCTGTGAAAATTGACAGTATATAGTAGTAATAAAGTAGTAATAAAGTAGTAATATAGTAGTAATATAGTAGTAATATAGTAGTAATACAAAGTAGTAATATAGTAGTAATATATAGTAGTAATATAGTAGTAATATAGTAGTAATATAGTAGTAATGTAGTAGTACTATAGTAGTACTATAGTAGTACTATAGTAGTGCTATAGTAGTACTATAGTAGTACTATAGTAGTAATATAGTAGTAATATGGGAGTAATAAAGTAGTAATATAGGAGTAATATAGTAGTAATATAGTAGTAATATAGAAGTATTATAGTAGTAATATAGTAGTAATGTAGTAGTAATATAGTAGTAATATAGTAGTAATCTGGTAGTAATATACTAGAAATATAGTAGTAATATAGTAGTAACATAGCAGTAACATAGTAGTAACAATAGTAGTAACAATAGTAGTAACATAGTAGTAATATAGTAGTAATATAGTAGTAATATAGTAATATACTAGTAATAAAGTAGTAATATAGTAGTAATGTAGTAGTAATGTAGTAGTACTATAGTAGTACTATAGTAGTAATATAATAGCAGTACTATAGCAGTAATATAGTAGTAATATATCAGGAATATAGTATGTAAAGTGCATGCTCCATGTACAGTGCCTAGTGATCCCTCACTAGGTCGTTTTGTGCCACTGCAGAGCGACCGCTTTATTTTGGCTCAAGACGCACTAGGTTCGACCGACGCGACAAAAAGGGCTTTGGGACCGTGAGGGTCTTTGGGGAGCCCCTTTTGGCTTCGCAGTTGGGGGCTGTTCTGGGAAATTCACTTTAAGGGTGAACCCAGGAGGTCGAGGCGGACGGCTCACCTGTGAAGGGTGAGGCCAGAAGCTCACCTCGAAGCGGTCGAGGCCCAGTGCTCACCGCCAGATGGCACGAGAAGTGAGAGGTTCAGTAAAGCCTCTTCTACAAGCCATTGCGGATGGGGACGTACCGCGCCCAGGGCTGATAGGGTACCATGACTGGAACTCTTGGCGCGCCAAAGAGGGGCAGCGGCCAAGCAAGGTTCGGCATGGTGATCCAGCAACAACGACGACGACAGAAGAAGCGCAACTGTGGCGAGACGTCATGGAAGCCCTTTACGGGGCCGATTGGAAGGATCGGCTGGCCCGCGGGGACGGGGCTCCCGATGACGAGGAAGAAGAAGATGAGCCACAGGAAGAAGAAGAAAGCGAAGAACTTCTAAGCGCTGCAGGACCAGGCCCGGAGCCGGCTGGTCCCAGCCATGGGGGCGATGGAAGTAGTGGACGAGCGGCTCTGGCAGCGCCGTCCGGAGCTTCTTCGACAGTTGGTGAGGAGTCAGTTTTCCTGGATCCATCAGTCGAGAAGCTAAAAGAGGTCTTCAAACGACCATATGAGCCTGAGAAAGAAAGTCCACAGAAGTTCGCAAAGCGGTTGTACCGCTTAGCCGAGGCCTTGGACCTGGAAGGAGAGGCTGTGGACGAAAAGGAAATGGAGCGTAGGGCTGCCCAAGCACTGTTTGAGAAACAGGTGCACGGCAAGGCAGAGGAGGAGCAACTCGTGCTCTTGAAAGGGTCTTTCCGTGAGTTGGTACTGGAAGATCCGCCAGAGGGCCAAGAAGAGGAGTACCGGCAGCGGCTGGACGTGCTTATGGCCATGATCCAAGCGCGCGGTGGACGTTTGAGTAAGAAAGGAGAGAAGTTGTTCTCGTCGACCGAAGGGACTCCGGAAAAGGCTCCAGCGGCTCTGCGCGGAGGACGTGACGTTTCAGCAAAGGACAGTAAGGAAATCGGAGCTAGAGGCCATGGGAAACGGAAGCCGTCGGATCAAGGGCTTGCCGAAAGTGGCTCAGTGGCTCTGCAGCGGTGGCTGAGCTGAGACGGCGAGTTGCGGAACTTGAAGAGGACGCGCGTTCCGACGGAAGCCGTCCTGTTGACGCGGTGGCCACCTTTGCTGAAGCCTTGGAACGCCAGACCCAAATTATGGCTGAGGTGCTGGGCAAGAAGAGCAAACGTTCCACGATCCAGGTGAGTCCAAAGGTGTCGTGGCCCATGCTGGATGACGACTGTAGTGATTACAGGTCGGTCCAAGAGTTTTACGACACTTTTGAGGCGACGATCGGGCTTGCAAACGATGGAGAAGGAATGACAGATATGGAAAAGTTGACCACTCTGAAAGCGTGCCTCAAGCAGCACAGGTTGAAGACCTACGAGTTGGTCTACCGAAGGCATCTCACCTCGGGGCTTGTGAGAGACAACCCAGGTGAGGTGTACCGCCAGATCCGGGACAAGCACCTGCTGTTTTCAGAGACAGCGGAGGAAAAGGAAATCAGGATTCTGGAAGAAGGTGACGGCTTGGAGAAAGGGAAGCTTTCAGCCTTTCAGTGGGAGGTGAGATGGGAGTCTCATCTGGCCGATCGGGACAGCATTGGATTGGGACTTAGCTCCAAGGAAGCTCTGATCCAATACTTGAGGAAGATCGGCCCAACCATGTCTAAGGACGTTCGGCGGGATAAGAGATTTCGGCCGGATGGAAGTGGAGGCACTGTCTTCAGGAGTGTCGCTACTTGGGAAGAAGCGCATGAAGTAGTGAAAGAGTTGGAAGAGACAGCGGCAGGACAGCGCGCTCTGAACAACTCGACCTTCGCCCACGGGAGCGGAAGGGATAGGCCAACCAAGACGAAGAAGACGGATAAGATCCATGCTCAGGACGACGTCTCGGGGGAACGGCTTGAGAAAGATTTGAAGAAGGTGTGCTTCGACATGCGGGATAGAGGCACATGTTCCCGAGGGAAAGAGTGCAAGTATGTTCACGACCGTGCCGTGATCGAGGAGGCCAGAAAACGTGTGTCGCGGGACAAAAAGTCCGGACAGCAAGACAAGAACAAAGTGGCAAAGGCGGACGACCTGGCTAAGTACGACGGACGGAAAGGGTCCGGGAAAGACAATGGCAAAGGCAAGGGCAAAGGGTCCAAAGGGAAAGGATCGAGCGACAGCCCAAGAAAGCCTTGCCGCTTCTTCAACTCAGTAGGAGGATGCCATAAAGGATCGCGGTGCCAGTTCTCCCACGATGGGCCCGGAGGGTCCCAGCAAGGGAGCGGGAGCGGTCCTGGGCTACAGCTGGCGAACTGGTTCCACGAGACGGCGGTCACCTGGGCGTCAAGCCAGTAAGTGGTGAGATGAAGGGAAGGATATAACCAACCCACGCCTTGTCGCTGTGTTGATCCCGAAACGCAAAAAGAAAACAAACGAAAAGCCCAACGCACAAGCAGTGTTGTTCCTACGGAGAACGGGGGCGCAGCTGGGGCGGCTAAATCAAGTAAAAAGGAGACACATGGGGTGCAAAAAGTATCAGCGGACCAAACCTGTTTGTGACGGGAGAGAGCCAAGGCACAAGCCAGAAATGAGGACCAAAAGCACCCTCTCTATGATTTTCAAAAAGTGGGGTGACCTTGAAAGTCTTCTGGGATCAGATGCCTAGAAAAAAAAAAAATGGTGTAAAGCAGTTGGAGAATGCAAGGGAGGGGCCGGGTACCCAGTAACCCAGACTGTAGTGGTGAAGATTCATTGAAATAGAAATTAGGTACGTCGGGTGCTTGCTCGATGGCTGTGCTGGGTGCAACTCGATCACTGAAGAAGTGGTAGTAGGGGCTATCCGAGAGGCCTTGCGCTCCGGAATCGACCCGTCTTCAGATCAGTTTCCGGTCGCTCAGCTCGAACGGTGGCCCAAGGAAGAAGTTGTGATGGGATTAGCGAACGGCGCGCCCATCAAACTCAAAGGGGCTGCGGTGCTGAGGGTCACCTTCCCGGATGTCAGCGGCAGAAAAGACCGCCAAGTTTTGGTGCGGGCAAAGGTGATCGCCAATGGGGGTTCGACATGGCACGGCCTGATCTTGGGCGGAAGAGCCTTGGATGCCGTTGAGAGAGGAGGACTTGGATTCAGGCCTGGAGCCAACGCCCACATTTTTGATGGACTGAGCTTTAAGCTCCCACGCAAGGAAGAAACTGAGGAGTACACTGATCACGCATATCCGCATGTGGCAGTCCAAGCGTCGATGTTTGATCGGGCTTGGGACTCGGTTCCTGGGCGGGAAACGCCGGGAAGCAGAGAAGAAGTCGAGCAGGTTTGCGGAGAAGTTTTGCAAGCCACTGGCGAGCAGTGGATTGGCGAGGAAGGAGATTGGGTGCCGGTTCGGCGCGCCGGTCGTGAAGCTTCGCCAATGAGCTCGTGCGTAAGCCCAGTGGAAGTTGTTCTCCCGCTTGCCGACAGCGAGTTAGAGGTGGTACCTGGGCTTTGGAGCCGGGACCAAGCAGAAGGTTACGTTTACGTGACGCCAAAGGAGGACGAGAAGTACGTCCAAGAAGGGGAAGAAGTGGCCGTAGCGGTAAAAGCGGTCGCAGAGCAGCAGTTCTGCAGGTCCTGCGGTCATTTCGACGCGGTAGCCTGGACTGGAGGACAAAACTGTTGCAGTGAGTGCGAATGCCCAGCGGCTGGGTTCAGGAAGATGAGTCCCGAGTGCCAGCGCTGTGGCGAAATGGTTTTTCGAAGTGAACTTGGAGGCTGCCAGAAGAAAGTAAAGGGCAGCTCAAGCAGAGGATGCAGCGGAGTGGCGTTGCTTCTGGCAGGCTTGTTGTGCTTCGTGGCGGCGGGAGTGGTGTCATCAGACAAGGTGTACCACATCGTGGAGACGCCGGGAGCACTCGACTTGTTGGCGGAGGAGGGCCCCACCGACAAGTACTACCAAAGGCTCAGGGCAGATCTGAGTGAGAGATATCCAGCAGCCTCAGAGCATTTGTTGGATCACCTTGAAGCTCTTGAAGCGTTTTTGGATAAGAGCATCATGGCAGGAGTCACGTTCGGGATCGACAAGGCCAAGATAGGAGTGATCGAAGGGGAGCTCCTGGGCCACTGTGTCGGAAGATTCGGAGCAAGGTGCAGCCAAGAAAAGACAAAGGCTGTTCAAGACTTTCCTGCCTTACGCGAAAAGTTGCACATTCAACAGTTCTTGGGTTGTACGAATTTCCTCCGGAATTACTTGCCTCCGGAGTATGCGCATTGCGCTAAGCTCTTGGGAGAGTACATGAAGGGAGCAGTTCCTTTCCCGGAGAGTGGTCTCGGAGAAGGAGACACCTCAGGGGACAAGGCTGTTCGAGCGATCAAGCTCATGACACAAAGAGCAATCGAGCTGGCCGTGTTGGATGAAGCGGGAGCGATCACTGGCGAAAGGCCCTTGGAGCAAATAGCAGATAGCTCGGGGTATGCAGTGGGAGGCTCCGCTCTCCAGATGCAGGCGGACTTGGGATCCTTTAAAGTCTTGGCCGTCCATAGCAAGGGCTTAACTCCAGCTCAACAGGCATGGGCGCCATTGTCCCTCGAAGGGTATGCGCAACTGGAAGTTCGGCGGGCTGTGAAGAAGCAGCTCGGTCCGATCAAGTCGATTTGCTGGACGGATCACGCAAACTGGACGCGCCAACAAACGTTGGAGCAAGTCGAACCGAAGCATTTGCGGTGGCTTAGCGAAATCCTCGCAGATGGGTCCGAATTGAGAAGCCTAGCCGGCAGGAGCGCCAGGCTTGGGGATGGATACTCAAGAAATCCTCCTGAACGGGATCAGCTCTTGGAACAGAGAACGAAAGACCTAGAAGGGTTGATCGGTCAGCTGAGGGGATTCTCGTTGGAAGAGTACCTCTTGGACGTTTCGGAGAAAGTAGCGCTGCCCTGGTCCGTCGGCGACGGGGTGTTGCCAGATCCTGAACAGGGAAGGAGTGCCGGGAATGATCAAGTCGCGGCTGTAGCAGGGGGGCTAGGGGTCTTGAACCGGTCCTTGCGGAACAACATGTTCGCAGCCGGCGTGAGTAGTGAGATCCGCGTACTCTACGTTCCTGACTACGTGGCTAGGAACGATCGGTGGATCCAAACCAAGGAGCTCAGCAAGCTCTTTCGGACGATCTTTCCCGAAGCCGAAGTCAAAGTGGCTCTTGCTGAGCCGCCGTTCGAGGATCCAGAAGGAAATGCCTTACACTTTGAAAGGCAAGGGAAACAGCACCTGACTGGGAAAAGACTAGTGAATGCCACGCGGGTCGACTTGTTGACATCAGTGGCCACGCTGCTTCGGGAGATCGCGAAGCACATGCCGAACTTCGTGGTCGGTGCCGGTCAAGGAGCGATAGTGTGCTTGGCGGCAGCTTCACCAGTGGTGGTGGAGTCGGTGTTGCTGGCCAGAAACGTGCATATCACAGAGGCACACAAGGTAGCGAGTGCCTGGGCACAGGTGAAGCTGATGTTTGGGGTCAACCCGAGGATCGGAAAATCGAAACCAGGGGGGCAGCTGCTGAAAGAGGCGTGCCCGGAATGGTTCACTCCGCACGTCCTGGAGTGCTTGCCCAGGCTCGGCATGGTAGAAAAATACGTGCCAGTAAGAGAAGAGATTGAAGAATTGCTGAGTTGCGCAGGAGTTATGCAGGTGAACAGTTTGGAGTCTGTGATGTGGAGCTCCTGGCTGGAAAGAGACAGCAAGGAACTGTGGGAGCACGAAGGACAGTGCGCCTGCGGTCGGAGGACGCGGCTTTTCGGTCAGTGCATGCGGTGCATAGAAGCAGAGCATGCTGAGGAAGTCCAACGAAGAGCAGACCAAGGAGCTGAGGAAGAAGATCAGAATGTGGAAAGGCGGTTTGAATTGGAAGGAGGGCCGGATGTAACGGCAAAGATCGAGCCGCTTATTGAAAGGGATCCTGTTACCGGGCGTGAAGAACTCAGCGGAACAGCAGAGAAATGGTTAAATGAACACCTCAAGAGAAGGAAAGAAAAGGTTGAGGAGCTGAAAGAAGAATCAGAGCTCGCGGTTGGAGCGGACCTGCGGAGCGACTGGTTCAAGGCACAGAGAAGCGACGATAAGTTGATGTCAGTAATCCAAAAATGCCTGAAGAGAACGGAGGAGACAACAAGTTCCGGCTGGCAGAAGATGGATTACTAGAAAGACTGCTGGAACGAGATGGGCAGAACGGAGAGCTCTGGGTACCGGTGGTACCAGATGGGAAAGCCCATTCGATGATGAGCTGGAAGGAGTTTTGTTGTCGTCAGGTCCACACTGGGATCATGGGAGCTCATAGGAGCGGAGCGAAAATGCTCGCCATTCTTCGAAAGGCATGTTGGTGGGATGATATGGAAAGCGACCTTGAGAAGTATGCGGACCGCTGTTTGGTGTGCATTAGAAACAGGAGGAGGCCCGTGAAACAGCTAGCGGTTCCAGTCAAGCCGTCATGGCTAGAGTGCTGGGAAGAAATCGCAGTCGACTTTGAGGGGCCGATGCACCCAGAAGATCATCAAGGGAACAGGTTCATCCTCACGTACATGTGTTGCGTGTCCGGAGGGATTATGCTGGAACCATGCAAGGCTCTGTCTCAAGTAGAAGTCAGAAGAGCCTTCGCAAAGCTGATGTTCCGGAGTCGGACGCTCCCAAAGATGATGCGGTCTGACCGAGGACAGGAGTTCCGAAGTACGCTGCTGAAAGAATACTGCGCACTTCTCGGTGTGCGTCAAAAATTCAGCGGACCTCTTCGTCCGTGTGAGATGGGAAGGACGGAAAGGATCCACCAGGAGATGCAAAAAGTCCTGGGATTACTGGTACACGACGTGTGCAGATCCAGGCCGCATGAGTGGACGGAACTTTTGGGAGTCGTGGAATACATCCTGGACACGACGCCTGGTCCATCAGGGTTTGCACCGCGCGACTTTGAAAGAGGTTGGAGTCTGGCGAGCCCATTGGAAAGAGAATTGATTGGAAGGGAGACGCTGGAATTTGAGCCAGTTGAAGAGGCTACCAAAAAGCTCTTCAAGGCTTACAGAGAAATCCGAGTCAAGGTGCTGGGTTGGCAAGCAGCTAGCGCTGCACAAAGAGCGGATCGAGCCAACAGGTTCCGAAAAGTCAAGGTGGTTGAGATCGGCGATCTGGTGGTCTACAGGGACCCCAGACTCCGATCTGGGGGGCGGACACCCTGGAGGAAGCAACTTTCCGAACCTATGCGCATCACGGCCAAACAAGGAAACCGTGTGGAGTTAGAACCGGTGGTTGCGGACCCAACCCAGGGTCGCCCACGCACGTTGAAGGACGTGCACGTAGAGGACCTTCTGTTGGTTCCTCCAGATGCGGCTGCAACAACTCCGATCCGCCCAGCGCACGTGGAATTGCCATTGCCAGTCGGGCAGGATGACCCAGGCTCGGTTCGTTCGCCTGGTTTGATGGTCGAGCAGCGAGAAGATCCCGACGCAGGAGCCGCAGGCGTAGTGCCGGAGCGGGCAAACAGGAGAACAAAGAAGGGCAGACTAGCCAGCCTGAGAATCGGGAGCTATGTGGCCTATGCCATCGAAAGCATCAAGGCCAATGTGCCGGCCAACAAACACTTGAAGAGATGCCGAGTCGGCAAGATCCTGCAAATCCGACCTATGGAACAAATGCTCCTGGTGCACCGATATACTCCTATCGCGGACGGAAGACTGAGGGTCCGTTGGAAGGAGATGTATCTGTCAGAAGCTACGAAGGAAGAAACTCTGATCCCGAGCTCCCATCCAGTCCAAGAAGAGGTGCCGCTGCAGCGGATTATCACTGAGATCCACCTGAACAGTGGAGTTATGAGTCATGCGGCAGCGCGGCAGATAGATGCCAGCGGCTATCGAGTGGATGAGAGGCGGTCAGAGGCCTTGCAAAGTGGCGGTGTTGTTCGCCAACGGGAACCCGTTGGGACCGCACTACCAAGCAGCAGGGCGTGGCAGGTTGAACTTTACCGGGGCATTACATGCCAAGACATTGATTGCAGAGCTGCCAGGCCAGAAGCAGGAGCCGAGGAAAGTTCTGGCCATCTTGGGTTCGGTGAACTGGACCACGGCGTCGAGGGGCAATCATGAGCTGGCAATGCTCCTGGAAGTTGACCAGAAGTCGCAGGCAGGTGAAGATCTGATCCGATGGGCTACTGAAGTAGCCCGACACGGGAAGACATTGGATGAATGGGATCTTCAAGAGATCAGTGCATCTGCCAGGCAGCGACAACATGGTTAACCCTGTGGCATTTTGCGCAGGGGGGTTCCAGCGGCTATAGGGCGCGGAAGCTCAGTGCTCCTGCGGCTCTTAGCGCGGAACTTGTGTGTAGGTTTTCTGTGTGGGATCATAGGCAGAGGGGCGAATGTAAAGTGCATGCTCCATGTACAGTGCCTAGTGATCCCTCACTAGGTCGTTTTGTGCCACTGCAGAGCGACCGCTTTCTTTTGGCTCAAGACGCACTAGGTTCGACCGACGCGACAAAAAGGGCTTGGGACCGAGAGGGTCTTTGGGAAGCCCCTTTTGGCTTCGCAAATGTAATAGTAAGAATGTAATAGTAATAATGTAATAGTAAGAATGTAATAGTAAGAATGTAATAGTAATAATGTAAAAGTAATAATGTAATAGTAATCATGTAATAGTATGGCAATGATTGATAATTGTAATTATACAATAAAATAATCGTAAATCTGATGATAAACATATAGTAATGACAAGAATGGTAATACTCAATATGGTTATTGTAGTAATGATTAATAGTAACACTAGTATTATATACTTATATAGTAATAATAGTATAATTATTAGTAATAGCATATTTACCAATAATAGCGTATATTTATTAGTATATAATAGTACGTATATTTATCAGTAATAGTATATTTATTAGTATATAATAGGACGTATATTTATTAGCAATAGTATATTTATTAGTAATAGTATATTTATTAGTAATAGTACCTCTGGCAATGACAAAGAACATCAAAGTACTGATCTAGTAACCACCAACGGTGATAATCATGAGAAGGATGATTGATCCGTGTCATCACAAACGTTGGGACGGTCCCAATGATGGGATGATATCAATATCAAACGTGTGTACCAATATTTATCCTATACACTTACATGGGATGTTTTTAATATATATATATAATTACCAAGAAACTGGTATGACTTGGTGGCTCAATGGAAGCTACGAGTAAGCTTCATCCTCATCCTGAGCCTCAACTCACCATTATGAAATTGTCTCTGAAAATGCAGTAATCACTGCGAAACCTTCATGGCTTTTCCCCGAAACCTCCATGGTTTCGTAGCATTTCCCTATGTTTGGGGGGTATGCTCGGTCCCATTTTCAGGTCCAACCCACCCGTTACTCGGTCATGCCCTCCAAGCGGCTCAGGGGCGAAGCGTTTCACGCCACCCTCTTCAAGGAAGCGCAGCTTGTCCCGAGCCACCCGCACCCCTCCTGCGCGGAAGTCGTGCGCAGGAGAAGTGTCATGGAAGGTGACTGTGCTGGGTGATTTTAACCAACGGAAATGGGAATTCAACGGGATCCAGACGCTTTTCTGGACAAAAATGGGACTTAGCATTGACTTCTTGACTTCATCAACAGAAGTGGCAAGTTGCAATCGACAAGCTGCCAATGATGTCCATAATGTCCATATGGGGTCCTCTTTGGGTGGTTGTCCCAGCTGCCCACAAAATCAAACATGTTTGAATCACCTTCCAGGGCTTCAGGTTGGGAGTCAGACTTGGCTAGCTACCTCCAAACAAAAAAAAGCTGGATAGTCAACAATCACAATGACATACTGACCAGCATCTTTACGATTTGCATGTCCCAAGTGTGGCTACCCATGCTACCCATCCCCCAGCTGCCAAGTTCAACCAACAGCCATCACCCCCCCCCACCCGGTGTGTCTCCTTCCAGCCACGTTTCACCCGGATGTGGCTTCACCTTGGCACTCCATGGGAACCTCCCCAGCAGGAGCCGCAGCAAGAACCAGCCCAGGGACCTTGGTGCGGATCACCTGTGGCTAGCTGAGGCTATCAGCCACCTGAAAGATATGGTTTCTTTATAAGATTCAATCAACTATTTCATATTTTAAATATGTATATCATAGTCACATGGATAGATTTGAAAGATTGGTGGTCTTGAAACTGATCAAGAAATTGATGATCTTGCCCATATCACAAGAAATTGAGACGCAGGACTATGCTTATAACCACAGTTTTAAACCACTTGCCATCTGGGATGGGATCCAAGTACCCCACGCCACTGCAGAATATAACTAATCAGATGCGGATGAGGTGTTTTAATTAGAATCGGGTTTTGGCCCGCCGGTGTATCCAACAGGTTGGCATGTTGGGTTTACGGCTGATTAGTGGAAGTAACCAGGTGCATTTCATCAACCAAATTTGGACATCAGGATACGTTAATGAGACATAACAATAGCAATACCAAGATGCCAAAAAAAAGTCCCTGGTCTTACACTTAGTGACATTTGTCTCTCTGGTTGGGTTTCAACGCACCAGGACAAGAACAAGACTTGGAAGAACTGTCATCATGCCACGTAGGGGGTTTCCTCGAATGGGGGTACCCCAAAAATTGGCGGTTTATAATAATGGAAAGAAAATCCTGCCAAAATGTATGATTTGGGGGTACCTTCATTTTAGGAACCCTCCAAATACTGGTAGGCAGGTAAAGCAAAGAATATGTTCGGACGCTGACTTATAATAGCCCCACAGTTGGTTCCAAAGTACCGACATAACGCCAGTTGACCCAGCTATACCCTCCAGATCCCTCCAGTAATCAAACATCGCAATGGAACATTCCTTCTGTACATGATTTTCCCATTAAACCTCCACTTAGTTCGGGGATTTCCCAGCTAGCTATGTTTGATTATCCAATCATATTCCCATTAAATCCCATTCAACTCAACTAATTAAATTGCCATTTGCTGATGGTTCAATTACGGTTAACTCATGTTAACTCTCAACTAAATTGCCATTTGCTGATGGTTAAACTACGGTTAACTCCCTATTTGTTGATGGTTAAGTCCCCCATCAGCTTTCCGTTTGAATCCCAAGATCTCCACGTCATCAGCGCTGGTGCGTTGACCACCCTCCAGGCCAGCCCTTGGCTCAGGCGCAAACGATGGGGTCCCTGTCCGGCCTTCAGTAAAACACAAGTGGGCACCGGGTATGGGCACCAAAATTCAAGACACCCAAATCTACAACAGATTCAAAATTCAAACTGAAGCCTCCCAAAAAATCGGTGCCAAAAACGTCAAAGTTGACATTTAAGGGGGTTCCACAAAACCCCCCCCAAAAAAAAAAAAACATCCGCCACCAACAAAAACTCCAAGGCGCTTGATGGACATATAGTCCCTCATCCCCCCCTCCCCGGCTTTGAATGCGGTGCGTCCCAGATATCCCGCGCGGCCCAGGTCGATGAGCTGCACGTGCGGCGCGCGCCGGTGCAACAGGATGTTCCTGGCAGGTGGAGCCAGGTGGAGGACTGGATCCATGGGGATCCAGTTGGGGATGGTTTTTACCCATAAGAATGGTGATGACTTGGGGATGGTTCATGGCACTGGGATCATTGGCTTTAGCACAACTAAGAAAAATCGGGATCAACTGACCACAACGATGATTTCACGTGTTGACATAAAGAAGATTGAGAATTTGCAGTCACAAAATGGTGATTTAACCAACGAATTCATGGGAAACTAGCATATGTTCGAACCAACAATATCCAACAATTATACCTATATATATATATGTATGTATGTAATGTAATGTAATGTAAACGTAATGTAGTGTAGTGTAGTGTAATGTAATGTAATGTAAATGTAATGTTGTAGTGTAATGTAATGTAATGTAATGTAATGGTATGGTATGGTATGGTATGTATGTATGTATGTGTGTATGTATGTGTGTATGTATGTGTGTATGTATGTGTGTATGTATGTATGTATGTATTGTGGTGTGTGCATGTCTGCAGCTGAATGTCTGCAATGTATGCCATGGATGCTCGTAGCAGGTATGCCCAGTTATGCAGGTATGCAGGTAATGCAAAGGTATGGGCTCAGGTACCTGCAGGGTATGCAGGTAATGCAGGTATGCAGGTATGGCAGGTAATGCGGTATGCCATGTTGCAGGTAATGCAGGTATGCAGGGATGCAGGTTATGCAGGTATGCAGGTCAAATGCAGGTTATGCAGGTATGGCAGGTATGCCGGTTATGCATGTATGCATGTATGCATGTATGCAGGTATGCAGGTATGCAGGTATGCAGGTATGCAGGTATGCAGGTATGCAGGTATGCAGGTATGCAGGTATGCAGGTATGCAGGTATGCAGGTATGCAGGTATGCAGGTATGCAGGTATGCAGGTATGTAGGTATGTAGGTATGTAGGTATGTAGGTATGTAGGTATGTAGGTATGTAGGTATGTAGGTATGTAGGTACGTAGGTATGTAGGTATGTAGGTATGTATGTAGGTATGTATGTGTATGTGTATGTGTATATGTATATGTATATGTATATGTATATGTATATGTATATGTATATGTATATGTGTATGTATGTAATGTAATGTAATGTAATGTAATGTAATGTTAGTATGTTAGTATGTTAGTATGTTAGTATGTTAGTATGTTAGTATGTTAGTATGTTAGTATGTTAGTATGTTAGTATGTTAGTATGTTAGTATGTTAGTATGTTAGTATGTTAGTATGTATGTATGTATGTATGCATGCATGCATGTATGTATGTATGTATGTATAAGCAGGTTAGGTGAACGGGCACTGTGAACCTAGAAATGGCTGGTCATTTTTGGGTCTCAAACCGTCCCTTTTGATTGGTGATAATTTTGACCCATACAGGGCGAGAAACTGAGTGACTGGCATCAATTCAATCACCATTCAATTGTCCATCATCAAGCACCCCAAGTTGGAGAGCGCCCAAAGTTGAAGTGAAAGCTGATTTCAACTCTGTTCAGACTGGTCGAGACTTGTTTGGATTGCAACGTGTGAAAAACTTGAGAACAAGCTTCCTTCTGAAAGAAATAGGAGCTAGCCATGGTTTCAACCCTATCCTGCAATGGATCCGGATTCAACATAATCGGAAAATACTCCAACAAAGTTGGCAATTGGGTGGTCATATTTTTTTGAAGTAGATAATCCACCTCTCTCTCTCTCTCTTTGTCAGGTCGCCTGCCCTGGCGGTGCTTGGAAAACGAGATACAGAAACCCAATGCATAGTTGAGATAATCCAGTAGCAAGATGTGTGTGTAAATTAAATCACTGTAATATCAACCCCTCTTTGTGATGCAGTTCGAGTCTCCCAGGTTTCAGGTCACAGTGCAGGATGCCTCGGCTGCGCCGACAGAGCCTCTAATTCCATCAATCATTGGTTGAAACCGTCGTGTTCCTAGTAAATATACGGGTACTCCTGCGGATGGTCCCTTCAACATCCTTCAACCACGTCTTGCAATCCAAACCTGTTGAAAAGTGATTCTGGAAGATTCATGAACGCCTCAACCCCCCCCAAAGACCATCCCCGGGACCCACCAAGATACCTCGCTTGTGGATGGCTTGCAAGGTGCGCAGCAGTCGCAGCCCCATCCCAGCCACGACGGGCCAGGAGATCCGACCCAAGGTCTGGGGGGAGGTGTCGTGGATGTGAAGCTGACCGCGGAGCAAGATGTCCAGACAGGGCTCGATTTTAGACATGGCCATGTAGAACTCACCCTTCTCCTTGGGCCAAGGCCACCGAGAAAAATGAGGAAGAAACGGACCCTGCCCATCGTTCAAAAAAACCAGAGCTACACGAACGGTAATCTCTATACATATATATATATATGTATATATGTATATGTATATATATATATGATGTGTGTGTGTGAATCCACGTGCATACACATTTTCCCCCAGATTCCAGCAGTAGATGAAGCCCAATTTGGACATCAACAGTTCGACATCACCACTCCAAGTCTCAGTTCGTGGCCCTGGAAGCCGCCCGAAATCCAGCAGATCAGGAAGCCCAGGGATGTCGTGCACCCGAGCGTAGAGCTCCAATTCTTCGGCTTCCACGGGGTACTTCACAGCTGCCACCCCACCCTTGCCAGCTGAAGGCCAACGGCCAGTGCAAACCACGGCACCTGGTGGGAATCGGAATCGGCTGGAAAGTATGAAACAAATAGTCCCGGATTCCCCCAACAAAACTTCCAAACCAAAAACGACCTTCCTTTTTCAGCCAAGCCATGGCCTTGTTTCCCTTGACCGATGTGACTGGAGATCAACCAGGGGCCCATTTCACGCCAGTCTTCGGTTTCCTTTGGGATTTCTTCTCCCTGAAACTTCCAGCCCAAGCAGACCGCACAGCTCTGTGGACACGCAACAAAAATCCAGGCGCGACGCTTGGAACGAGCCGAATCCAGAAACCAGGCCTGCGCACTGAACCATTTTCCAACCATGATGCCATTCAACCGGGGGAAATATCATATATATATACATACATATATCGTATATAATAGATGCATATAGGTGCAATATTGGATATATAGTGTGTATATATATGTGTGTGTATACATATATATATACAGCATATATATAGTGTAAATAAATATATATATATAATATAATATATCTATATATTATACTATATATATATATTGTATATAATTTATATATATTGTATATATATATACAATATATATATATATATAAATTATATACAATATTTATATATATACAATATATATATATTGTGCATATATATATATATAATATGCATATATATATATATATATATTATGCATATGTATATATATATTATGCATATGTATATATATGCATATTATGTATATATATATATGTGCACATAGTGTACATATATATATTATATATAGTGTATATATAGTATGAATATATATATAGTGTATATATAGTGTATATATATAGTATAGTGTATATATATACAGTATAATGTATATATAGTGTATATATATATAATGTATATATATATATAGTGTATATGTAGTGTATAAGTAGTGTATATAATAGTAAATAAATAGTGTATATATAGTATATATTATATAGTATACAAATATATATATATATGTATAGAGAGAGAGAGCTCATATATTTTCTAAATAGTCTATATATATATATGTGTGTAGTATAGTAAATATCTATGCATGTTTCAATTATATGATGTTATATCATATTATTTAATATCATTTTATGTCATTCTATGTTGCTTTATGTTATTAATATTATTTTTTTATATTTATACATGTATATAATAAACAAAGATATAGAACCACATGTTGCAATTCGGATCATCTTCCCATGTATTTGGGAGTGTTCTCCTATACTTTGTTCTTGCTTGCTGATCTTCCCGGTTTCTGAATTAACCGCATCTTTCATTTCTTCGGCTGAAAAGATCTAGTTTATCCAGTTTGACAGGCTGGAACACATGACAGAAACACAAAAACAAGAAATTGCACTGAACTCATCCATCCAGATGCTGCATCATGATGAGCTTCCTCCGGCCCCAGCAGCTCATGTCGGATGCTGAGGTTGGCCCCCTCGATGCTGGGATACATCCGCCCCAAACCTTCCACCAGCACTTGGAACATTGCGTCTTCGCGCGCGGGGATCTCTAAGTGGCAGGAATAAGTTGTCCTGAGGTCGGTGCTCTGGAGCAGATCTCCACCATTTGAGTTGCAACCATCGCAGTTGAGGGGGGCCGTTCCCAGTCCAAATCATTTTTGATGAATCTTGCTGAACTCTTGAGGCCAACAAGTTCAACAAATGCCAGCAAATACCAATCTACCTCTTGGTGAGAGCAAAGGATTGCAAAAAAACTAGACGACGGATGGCCCGAGAGCGTAGAGGAGCAGGGTCTTCTCTTGTTAGTATGGAGACGCAATTTTAGAAACGGTATATGAAAGCTGTGGTATAGGCAGTCGAGAAGAGGAGTATCAAGACAAAATAGTGAGAAGTGCAAGACAATAGTTTGCATCGCAAACACTTTTACACACAGACGCTTTTACACTGACGCTTTTACACACAAAGCTTTTACCCACAGAAGCTTTTACACACAGAAGCTTTTACAGACAGAAGCTTTTACATACAGAAGCTTTTACATACAGAAGCTTTTACACACAGACGCTTCTACACAGACACTTTTACAAAAAGACACGTTTACACACAGACACTTTTACACACAGACCCTTTTACACACCGGAGCTGCTTTTACACACAAACGCTTGTACACACAGAAGCTTTTACACATAGACGCTTTTACACACAGGCACTTTTACACAGAAACACTTTTACACACAAACATCTTTACACAGAAACACTCGTACACATAAACCTCTTTGCGTGCAAAAAAGTTACTCCAGCACACGAAAAATCGCAATTTTACCTCAGTTTTTGCCGATCGACCATCATTTCGTGCGAAAGGGTTGCTCCGGCACACGACAAATCGCAATTTTACCTCAGTTTCTACCGATCGACCCTCATTTCGTGCGACAGGGTTGCTCCGGCACAGATAAAATCGCAATTTTACCTCAGTTTTTGCCGATCGACCGATCGACCCTCATTTCGTGCGAAAGGGTTGCTCCGGGACAAGTCAAATCGCAATTTTACCTCAGTTTTTGCCGATCGACCCTCATTTCGTGCGAAAGGGTTGCTCCGGGGCAAGTAAAATCGCAATTTTACCTCAGTTTTTGCCGATCGACCTTCATTTCGTGCGAAAGGGTTGCTCCGGCACAAGTCAAATCGCAATTTTACTTCAGTTTTTGCCGATCGACCCTCATTTCGTGCGAAAGGGTTGCTCCGGGCCAAGTCAAATCGCAATTTTACTTCAGTTTTTGCCGATCGACCCTCATTTCGTGCGAAAGGGTTGCTCCAGCACAAGTCAAATCGCAATTTTACCTCAGTTTTTGCCGATCGACCCTCATTTCGTGCGAAACGGTTGCCGTTTCGTGACTCGCCGCCGGTACCACCCTCGGCCTAAAGAGAGAAAGATAAAGAAGGCGAGAGAGAGAAAAAGGAGAGAGAAAGGAGAGAGAGAAAGGAGAGAGAATGAGAGAGAGAGAAGATGTGAAGATGAGAAGGTGTGAAGAGAAGGTGTGAAGAT